AAGAAAGACTGCGAGAGCTGGGCCTGTTCAGCCTGGAGAAGAGAAGACTGAGAGGCGATCTCATCAACAGTGTACAAGAAGGGGGAGTGTCAAGAGGATGAGGCCAGTCTCTTCTCCGTGCTGCCCAGCAACAGGACAAGAGGCAACGGGCAGAAACTGAACCACAGGAAGTTCCACCTGAACCTGAGAAAAAACTTCTTGACTGTGAGGGTGACAGAGCATTGGAACAGGTTGCCCAGAGAGGTGGTGGAGTCTCCTTCGCTGGAGATATTCAAAAGCCGTCTGGATGTGATCCTGGGCAATATGCTCTAGAGGACCCTGCTTGAGCAGGGAGGTTGGACTAGATGATCTCCAGAGGTCCCATCCAACCTAAACAATTCTGTGAACAGGAATTTGATACAAAAGGATGCTTAGTGTAGCAAGCAATGTTTAACCAGCTCTAGTTGACATTTGGAAGACTCAGGTAAAAAATAAGGTGCTTTTTATTAACCAGTCAGTGGAATTAGCCATTGAGGCAACTTGCCAAAGTATGAATTAATGTATCATGGCCTTCTTTTTAATGTGGGATTAATGCTTTATTAAGTAACCAGCTCTAGTTTAAGTACTTCATTTGGCCTATGTTATGCATAGAGTTCACATGTCTTCTGGCTTCACCTTTTATGAACATAAGTGCTGATCACCCAAACTACCTTGCAGAGAAGACCTGTCATAAAGCAGGATTAAGAAAGGCAGATAGTTTGACTTGAAAACCCCAAATTGTGCAGAGTTATCACTTCCTTTGTTAGTTTAATTTTTCCTCTACTGAGCTATTCCTAGTGGCCATTGTCAAATTCAGTATGGTAGAGTCGGGATTGCATTCAAATGTGATATATTTCTTTACTCTGTGAATCTTACTTTTTCAGGATTTTTAAGTCTGCTAAAGTCTCATGTTCTGCAGTGACATGGGGTATCACAGGCCAGATCGGGAGCGTTCACTAATGAAAAGAGCAATGCTTTTCAGTAAGCCATGGCAAGTGGTCTCATGACAGCTGTTACACTGGGATGTTAACTTATGTACATTCAGTAGGTCATGGCCCCTGGCCCCTGTTTGTTCCCTGTCAGAAGATTCTGAAATGGCATGTTAAAAGGATCAGGCAATTTTAGAAGCTAAGCAAAACTACCCAGAATGAATGCAGGTGTGGTCTGATGAGCGCTTGCTTATATTTTGGGCAGTTTAAGAAGTCATTATCCTGCAAGTCTGATACAGTATCCAGTCACAAACTAATTCATTTCAGCACAAAGTAGACCCTAAGGAAAGTGGCATAACTGGCTTTAGGTTGAGTGGTGTGCTTCAGTCTAGCTGACAGAAGTATGACTACTTCTGATGGTTCTTTGTTGAAGCTGTGTAAATTTATACAATAAATAAGACACAAACTTTACCCCAGAGATCCAGTAAGAGGAAGGGGGAGGATCTCTACTTGAGGCACACAAGCAGAAATAGAATTAAAATGTTGATGACTGTTTAGGTATGCTTTATGATATAGGCATAGTCTACGCGATATTTAATGGATTAGGACCTGTCTATCTCAGGCTAACTTACTTTCCCTTCCTAATTTTAGAACCAGTTGTGTCCCTGGAAAGGGCAGAATTAGACTGTCTAGGAAAGGAGATGGAGCATTTCTCATGGCAGGCACCTGGCTATTTACCACTGTGTTAGAAATCAGGCTATCTCAAACTGTTTAGATATTGTGTCCTATTGTCATGTCTGGTGACTAAGTACCGTACATGGTTATCACTCTTTGCACCTTTGTCCTATTGTCCTTTATAAGTCATATCTACTGATAATTTTTCTTTTGATAGTATGTTTATAGGAGTGCTGAGTGTCTGTGTAACCAGTCAGCACAACTCATAGCTAAGAAGAGGTTCTAGTTTTGCATGATCTCTTGCTTGTGGAATATCTCAAATTAGTGAGGTGTAACCTAATTTGCGAGTTAGAGTAGATGGGCTGGGCTTTGCATCTTGGGTGTAGGTTGTGAGGAGAACAGACCTTGGAAAGTCGTGTCATTCTGAACTTGGTTTTTTTGTGTCTTACAGACTTCTGGGACACAGCTGGACAAGAGAGGTTCCAGGGCATGCATGCATCCTATTACCATAAGGCTCATGCTTGTATCATGGTAAGGGTGGTCTCTCAGCTGAGATCTGGTGGAAGTTGGACTGATAACAGTCCCAGTTGATACTGGCTTGTATGTTATTTTCACATTTTTACTGTCTTATATTTTTTGTCCCTTCTAGTTGCTTAAAAAACTTTCCTGTATTGTTCCTTTTTCTCTCACTAGATAAAACCAGTATAGCTGGGAATGTTTAGCTCTTTTTATCTTCCTGATGGCACCCTTACTACATTCCCTGAGTTTGTTTTCTTCTATGTTTCCTTACGCTGGTCACTGTTTCCAGTAAGGAGGTACCTAAAGCTGAATGTACAACTTTAGATGTAGTCCTGTCAGAGGTGACGTGAGAGAAAGGACATCCCTTTCCTATCCTGTGATGTGACTTTTGGAATATGCAGTACAAAACTGTTCTGATGTGTTCTGCAGAGGCATCACATAAGACATGCTTCTCTGATCTTCTGCACTTTCTGTTTTCATACACTTTGCTGTTTCCCATATTTACAGCTCAAATGAATCTTGTTTCTTTCCCCCAACCTACTTAGGTCTCTTGATCTGTACTGTTGCTCTAACTTTTCCCTATTTGCCATTATTTGTGAACATCAGTCAACTTCACTGATATTTTGATGTAATGGTTAAATTAGAGGAGCCTTACATCTTGCCCTACTTAGGGTAACAGTTTTTTCCCAGTGCTTGTTCATTGTCATGGGTGATAGAGTGCTTGTCATTGTACAAAATAAAAATGTAAAAGAAACTGAGGGACTGTTGCCAGCATAGCGCAAAGAAAGGGGTGGCTGCATGTTTAAAGGCTTGCTAGCTATTCTCCCTTTTATTTTTCGTCCTTTGTAACAAAGGCCATTTTCTGTTGTTGATGTCCTACTTGAACAGTTGTAACTGACTCTGTGCCAGGAGGCTCCAAGCAATGCTACCTCAAATCTTTTAATCTAGTTGGAATACCCTCCTCCAGATGTTCCTTTCAGTTGCTATATTTGCAGTGTTATGTGCTTAAAGAAGGACTAGATGAATATAGGACTGGAGCAAATTCTGGATTCCGTACAAGTGTTTGATGCAGTGGGTTGATGAGGAGCTGTCCTGCTGTAGGCCCCATGATAGCTGGTTCTTTTTCGGAAGGTATTTGATGTGCAGCGGAAAGTCACCTACAAGAACTTGAGCAACTGGTACAAGGAGCTGAGAGAGTTCCGCCCGGAGATTCCTTGCATTGTGGTGGCCAACAAAATTGATGGTGAGTATACCTATCTTATATTTTCAGCTTCTCAGGGTTGTGATGTGATTATCTTCTGACCTAGCTGGGGAAAGAATGTCATTTGTCTATTTGGTCCAAATGAGTTCTTGAATATTAGGCCCTTAGGGCTGTATTTTATTAAATGGATAGCTGGATCCTCTGTTAATCTTTCTTGGTGTCTTATAGGCCCTTGTTCTTATTTTACTAGCAATTAATGATTCAAATTCCATCCATTTACAGTTTATTCAAGTGATGTGCTTCCAAATATGTCCTTACCGTGCTGCCCATTACATCCAGGAACCCAAAAGCTGGTTGGAGCAGTGCTTAGCCGAAATTACAGAATGTGTTGCTGGAAAAGGAGTGTAACCTATTCTGTGGCTTCCCCTGATACAGACAGTAGCTGCCTTTGTATTGCTAATTCAGCCAGCAGGTTTCCAAGGGACTCCACAGTAGAGTGTCTGAATATACCTGCTGGCAAACTTGTTCAGCTCCCTCTGCAGATGACTGGATGATTGCCTCCTCTTCTTAGGGATACCAGCTAGGCATTCATTAATGCTATCATTTGGGTTGTGATCTACATCCACAATCTCCTGCTGTTCCCTATCAAGTACAGTGACAAGAAATGGGTTTCCCTCCTGACATTTGTGGTAGGAGTCATCACAACTATAAGTAGGTGTCTCTGTCTGAACAACTTGTCTGGGCTTCTGCTGTAGCCTGTGGAAGTTGATGTGGTTCAGTGGTGGGGTTCAGGGCATGGTCGATCTTACCTAGTGGAAGACTTTTCCTCTAGGATGAGTCGATACAGCCTTGCATCCACGGACCGGACACGAGGCAAATTGACCTGCTGTTGGAACCCCTATTGTAGACACTGCGTCTACGCAGGTGAATCCTGCTCTTAGTTTTCTGTGTGAGAGTGGAGAGTGCTCCAGGGGACTCTTCTCCCCTGCTTTGTTTGCTGTTTTCCACCAGCACAAGGAAATGATCAGCCTACAGCTCTTAGCACAGGTCCAGCCTGCAGAATTGCTTGTCCAGCTTCCTGCTTTCTCTGAGGAGGCGCGGAACAGCTGCCCGGGCAGCGCTCGCTGGCACGCATCTGGAATCTGAACTACTTTAGCTGTTGCTTCCAGGAGAAAAGACGGCTGGTCTGGAGTCCTCCTCCTCCTGTGCTGGCATACAGGCTGTCTTTCTACCAAAACTTTGAGCTGATACTGCTGTGCCAGCATGGCCTGCAGATATGCTGTAGATTTGCTTCAAAATTGAAACAAGGCCCCTTGCCTACTGCGTTTAGAGTAGCCAGACCTGTCTGTTGAATACACCCATAGAACAACGTGGTCACTTGTATGCTGTGAGCCTATCCTTGACTCACAGGAATGTGGGTAACGTGGCATAAAGACAGTGGCCAGGTATGGTTAGAAAGTGCAAAACGGAGGGAGAGGCACGATTAGTGTTGGCAGTGGTGTCCAGGTCATGAGGACACATAGCAAAAGTCACAGGGATGCACCTGGAAAACATTCACAGTTGCAGCACAGCAAGTGAACTGGGATGTTTTCTGCTGCAAAGCGTTATTCATTTATAGCGCATAAGGCTCCGTCTGCGTTTTAGTCAAGCACCACGGACAAGCAACAAAAACTCTTTCCTTTGTGTGTCTTCTTGCCAACCGTTTGCTGATGCTGTCACTTTTAAACCCCTCTGGCTCCCGGGGAGGACTGTCCTGGCCTTGCACTGCAGCGAGGAGGCCTTGACAACTAGATCGGGCTCTGGTCTCCGTATGCTCCGCCAACCCGTGCCTATGCTGGCATTCTGCCTACAGTGGTGTCTCAGTGACCGCTTCTTCTTTTTTCCCCCAGCGGATATGAAGGTGACGCAGAAAAGCTTCAACTTTGCCCGGAAGTTCAATTTGCCCTTTTACTTTGTGTCTGCTGCAGATGGCACCAACGTAGTGAAGGTAAGACATAGCTATTTGGCTCAGTGTCCATGAGAGCCCTATGCAGTCCAAGGACACAGAGATTGCTGTAGGCACAGAGAGCAGAAAAGGGGCTAGTGCTTCTGGTTGGTTCCTTGTGATGGTTCTGGTAGCTGTAGGTTGTTGCAGAGTTTTTTTCTTGGGGGGTGGAAATAGACAGTTTCCCTATCTTGGAAGAAACCCAGCGCCCTTTACGTTGAGTGACAAGCATTTTCCTTCTCATCAGCTCTTCAACGATGCTATCAAACTGGCAGTTGCTTACAAACAGAATTCCGGCGATTTCATGGATGAGGTCATGCGAGAGCTGGAGGTAAGAAAAACTCTACTTACTGCACTCCTCCCTCTCCTAAGTGATTAGCAGCTCTGCCCTTTTTCCCCTCGGGGAAAGCTGAGAGCATGCAGCAAAGGGTGAAACTTTGCATGCTTGGAGAGAGTTGCTTTACAGTGGGTGACACTATGGGGTTTGTGTGCTGCCCATGTCTAGTTTGGAATGGATGAGGTGGCGGCACTCTGGAGAGCTCATGCTGCCCTAGGCAGGGTTTGAGAGTATCACAGCAAAGCAGGGTGTGGCTGTTGCTCTCCTGCTTCTCAGAGTTTCTTGTCCTGCTCCTTTTCAGAGCTTTGACCTGCAGAAGAAGAGTGAGGACTTGTCGGAAGAGGAGGAGAGCTGCCCTGAGGAGAAGCCCCCATCTGCCTAAAGCCTTGGATCCCGAGTTTGTTGTTTCCCATTTCCCTGGATTTCTGGGGTTAGTTAGAGCTGGCCTTCACAGAGGAAAGTGATTTTCTCATGCACTCAGTACTCTGGTGGTGGACAGCTGGGCCTTTCCCCTTCCTGTGAGTGACTGTCTGGGCATGGCCTTCCTTGACTGGGCCCTAACCCCCTGCCACACCGTGGTCGAGGAGAAGGCAAGAACATCCACGTGGTTGCTGGCTGCTGCATGTTCCTTAGAGGCTGAGCTTGCTGGGAGAGCTGAGCCACTCTTGGATCTGCAGGGAAGGGTCCTGCCCAGATGCTTTAATAGTACTTACTGGAGAAAACAAACACTAAAGAGGTTTTTATAGAGCTTTGAGCTTGGGTCCTGCACTTTTGTTATAGGGCTGTCCAGTTACTGCAAAGCACAGGTCAAACTGCCAGCCCTCCCCATTGCTTTGTAGCTTATCCAGTGCTGCCTCTCTCTGCACCCATTTGGTCTCTGCTGCGCTGTTTCTCTGGGTTTCTCTTCCCCTTCTATTATGGAGCAGCCAAATCCAGTGGACTTCTGGACTCAGGGAATTTCTCTTTTCAGGCCTACTAGAGCTGAATGGGGTGGACTCTCACACCCAGAAGGTTTCTCCCATCCCAGTTTGATGGATGTGGCTGCACGTTCCAGTGTACGGATCCAAAGACTTAGCGTGTATTCCAAAGAGCCAGATACATACTCAAACATGCACGCACGCACACCCGCGCGCGCGCGTGTGCACACACACACCCCCCCCCTCATGTGACTCGCAAAACAGATTAACACAGATAGTGGGTGCTGGTAAAGGCACCACTCTTAAAACAAACAGCACTCACATGAACATAGCCCAGTCCTTTTCTTCTCCTGCAGCTGATCATGACTGATGTTCACTAGTGAAGCATAAACACACCCTTACTTCTTAGATGCACAAGCAGCTCACATCCATGGATCCCTTGAATATTAGCAGGGCATTAAGCCCATCTAATATCCATGCCCAGATGCCAGGCTACTTACTCAGGCATCGGCTCAGACCTTGGGCCTTTCCAGATGTGGGTCTCATCTTGTTTGTGTGCTAGTCCAGCTTGACGAGTGCTTGTGAATTACACACGCACACAGGGATCCCACCAGTAGCTGGCCCTAGACACCTGATGTTTCCAACTACTGGCTCCCAGGCCTATGGGCCCCTAGGACCTGTGTTCCCTTCTCCCATTGCTAGCACCCAAGCCTCTCGACACACACTCACACAAGGAAGAGAGCAGGGTTACACAGAAAATGGTTTGGAATAGCTTTTATAAAGAAGGTAACATAGACTGTGCTGCAAGGCTCAGTTAGATGAGCAGTTTGTTTATGTGTGACTGGCCCCTTTATCCCCCCCTACTCTCCATTTTCCCATGCTATATTTCCCCCTCATCTACCTTGACCCCTCCCATTCTCCACCCTAGTCTCCTTCCAAATAAACAACCCACCCCCCCCACCACGCCCCGGTTACTTTTTGCCCACTGCTCCCAGTTTTGCTACATCAATACCCATATTTGGTATTTCAGATGCTGTTACCTAGTTCATCTTGGACTTCCATGTTATTACTGATGCAATTTTCTAGTAGTGCTGGCCTTGCCAGATTCCACTCCCCAAAAAGGACCCCAGCAATCTCTTCGATTATCTGTGAAGCTTAAATATGCACTGTCTCTCATACTACTTCCTCTTAACCACTTGTGAAATCTGGCCATTCCTCATGGCACTGTCTGTAACTCTTGTCAGCTTCTCACTCTTATTTCTTATGTCAAGTGGCTCTTGGTCTGCTCAGTTAGCAAATCCTGAAGCCAGGGCCTGCCAAGTCATCCGCTTGCCTGCCTTCACACGTTCCCCAAAAGTCTTCTGCATGCCACATCATTTTTCCCTAGCCTCAGTATGCCAGCCTTCTCCATCCCGTTGCTGCCTGTGTGGCTGTGAGCACCCTCCTCTCTGAGCGGGCAGAGTTTCAGCCCGTTGGGTGACTCTTTGCCTTTGTGGCCACCTGGCTGCACGCAGCCTCGTGTTTCAGGTGCCATCTATGGAAGTCCCTGCCTTGCCCCCGAGACTGAATTGGACTGAGGCATAGTCAGCTCTGAGAATAGGCAGTTTTATTTCTAGAATTGAGTAAGCTTTCAGGGTTTGTGGGCAGTCAGAGGAGGACAGGCTGAGCAGAGCAGGCCTTTGGCCCTGGGGTTGCCTCTGGATCAGTGGGCATTGCCCCAGAAGGAAACGGTCACCATACATTGCAGCCTGCCCTGGATCCTGTTTGTCTTGCTGCTTAAGCCTCACTTTCTGTTATGACTTGCAGGAGTTCCTGAAGCAGAGAAAAGAAGTCCGCCAACTTCTTGCGTGGAAATGGGCAGGAGCCAGGTCTGCCTGCATGTGTTGGTATTGGGCTATGGAATGGGCCTGAGGCAGACATTGGTGCCGAAGTAGGCTCTCCTGCTGGGTGCAGTCCAATCTGGACGAGGATCCAGTTGTAAAAGTGCTGAGTGGAGGTGTAGATTCCAGGCTGTTGTACTCTCCCGCAGCCTGTCCCCCAGCTAGTGACACCAACAAGCCAGTAGTAGTCGGCATTTTTATCTTTGCATACGAGGGGGCCACCGCTGTCGCCCTGCAGTGCAGGAGAGAGGTTTAAGGTGTTGCCAGAGTCTGCACTACAGCGGGGGCTGCTTCTCTCTAACAGCACCTGCCAGAGCTGTCTGCCCTGCACAGAGTGGCACGTCTCAGCAGCTGGAGCATACAGAAGCTTGTTGGGGCGGGGATCATGGGCCTGTAAGGTAGTGTTATCCCTCATGTCTGCACGGTGATCCCCGGATGTGTGGAACAGGGATGTTCCAGGGCAGGGATCTGGACCTGTGGGGCACCAAGCGCACTGGATGGGCTCTCTGGGGAGGGTCCCAGGCACCTGGGGCGAGGGGAGCGCTCAGCAAGGACCTGCAGACGGGAAGGGGAGGTGAGTTCTATCACTGGTGGGGACCCAGAGATGGGTGGGTGGGTGGGTGGCTGTGCAGGCAGAGCACAGGCAGCATACGTATGGGAAGTCATGATGAGGCTGCACCCACTGCTGTGGGCTGACTTGTTGCACTCTCCTACCTGGCAAGTGTCGATGGTACCTTGCTGATAGCCAGCACACAAGTTGCTGTTCTTGACAAGCCCGCCATACCATTGGCTGCTGTTTCCGGTGC